AAATTCAATCGATTTCATTGAGTTGTGCTAAAAACTCAAATTCAGAGAGATAGAAGCGTTTTTGGGAAAATTAGCTGACCAAACCGCCTTCGGCTGTTTGTGAGTCGAAGATCATGAAAAAATACCCGAATTCAAAAAAAAAATTCGCCTCAAACGGACTCCTGTGCGTAAAGTTATAGCCGTTCGAAGTTTTGCCAGATTTTCAATGCTCCAGCAATCCTTCTCGCCTATGGGCGCCTACTCTCGCCTTGGGCGCCTGTCTCCTCACCCATGGGTGCCTACCTCTTGCCTTGGGCGCTTGTCTCCTCACCCATGAGCGCCTACTTCTCGCCATGGGCGCCTGTCTCATCGCCTTGGGCGCCCACCTCGGTCACATGGGTGTCGCCCAAAGCACCTGGGAGTCTCCTATGATATCAAGGGCATGGACTCCTCCTCATTTCTCTCCTCCACAACTGCTTGAAATCCTAGTTCCCATGAACTTGTTGTGGTACCGAAGAAAATACAAGAAAAATTTGACTTACTCAGGTGAAGTTATAGCACATGCCCACAACCCCTTCCTCTCACCAAAAGTTAGAGGCTTGGGGCATGAGGGGCAAATGATGAGTCCAGATTTTACTGGGCCAAGCCCAATTTAGATAAATCGAGAAAGCCCAAAGAAGCGTCCATTGTCGACCCATCGTGGAGGACACCAAGAGGACAGCACCAAAAGCCAACGACCGAAGGAGGAGGAGGACAAGGGAGCCCTTGGGCCCCGCCCATGGCAGCCTTGGGCGCCCCCCCATGGCAGCCCCTTGGGCGTCGCCTGGGCTAGTCCCTTGGGCGCCTCCCTCTTCGCTCCTCCTCACCTTGGTACTCGAGGTCCAGGTCCAAGACAAGTTCAGGTCCAGGTCCAACTAATGTTCTCCTTCGGATGAATAGGAGCACGAGGAAAGATAATATGGAGATAGATATAGAAGATCTCCTACCATAACAATACTTTCCAAAGCAATATAATTCTTTTCCCTCACGTCACCGCCTCCACTACCTCACCCTAGCTATATAATGTAAGCCCTCTCAACATTGAGGGCATGCCTCCAACGCCTTCGAACCTTACACTCATTTGTTTTCTCTCTGTCCCCCTAAAAGCACTATATTTCTTCGGAGTACTATCATTCATCAACATCAATAAAGAACACAGGCCGCCGCTGCCATTCTCGAGAGTGGACGTAGGTCAATTGGACCGAATCACTATAAATCTCTGTGTTGATTGCTTAATTACTATTTTTATCCATTGATTGTTGTTGACTACTCATTAATTGCTCATTAATCACACCCTTACACATACCTGACTGTCGATCTTGTACGAAGACAGTTTTGTGCATCAGCAAAACTTGACCCTCATTTGAAGGTGTTATTAAGCACATTTATAAATTAATTACCTGGGATGTTAACATATAGCAAAACAATTGTCAAGTTCATTGTTTCACTTCTATAACGGATATATTCACCTGTTCTTCAGTAAGATAATATGTACATGATAGTGCTGGGTGAAGGAGGATACTGTCCAAATTTTAACGGATTTAGATAATAAATAGAATTGATCTGCAGACCCAATTAATAAATGGGTTGACATAAACCAGCTTCGAAAAGAAAAGGATCAAGTCAAACACCGTTTCTACCTGAGATGAAAATAACTACGAGATAATATGAAGTGGTCTTGCAGTTCATCTCTAAAGAGGCTGTGGCCTGGTTTCTTTGGATTTGCAGTTCAATACCCCGTCTCTCAATCTGTCCACATATATGTATATCCATCTGTCTTTTTTATGGTGGCGGTGTAAATAGTGGCGGCAACAGTGGCAATGTGGGTGAGGACGATGTTGGTTGCAACTATTTTGATGTGTAGTTTTGGTAAGGTCGTTTTCTAACCACATATCATTTAGTAATTTGTTTGATTGTTCTCATACCTGTTTACTAACTGCACAAAAAAATAATTATTGATCCCGCTAATTTACGAGGTGTCTCAAAGACGTGATATATACCGATTTGCTTGCTGCCTCAGATTTTCTTTAAAATGTGGCAAGATTCACAGCATTTTCATGTTCTTAACATCTTAACGTAACCAAAATACTGAAATGTTGACACATATTAACCTTTGGTTTGCTTGTTTAGAACTGCATGATTGTAATATCTGTTGGTGTGTAATACTTAAGTTGCATCAGCCTGACAAATATTGCCACCTATACTCACTCATGGCCTAACTAATGGCCTTTGAATGTTTGAATTAGGCACATCCCACCACCTTTAGGAGCAACTTTGCCAACTTGTCCTTTTTCTAAAATCCCATATTTTCTATGATTTATAAAAACCCACTTTTGGAAATGGGATTCCCTCATTAGGCAAATGGTCCCAAAGTAATGTGCCATTAGCGTGTCATGTAATTACATATATGATAAATTATAATGACATCCCCAGACATTTATCAAAAGGATAAGAATACTCACTGACATTCTATAAATGACATAAGAAACCTAATCGGAGATTTTAAGTATGAAATTATTCATGTATCCTCATTTGACTTACAAATTTCATCAAAATCAAACAGAAAATGAAAATAATTTGGGGGAGAGAGAGAGAGAGAGTACTCCCCTTCTTGCTGCCCCTACCTTGATTGAACCAATCCTTGGTTATTAGGTGAGGTTAAAAAAAAAACATCCCTTGGTTCACCTTAGTGTAGAGGGGTGATGGTTCCGTCCTTCAGGATGCATCCCGGTCAGGTGGGGCAGCGGCTTGGACCAGTGGCAGCCAGTGTAGTGGATATTATCCTCTGAAATCTCACATCATTTGGTTCTAGACGGATTCCAAACAAGGACTTTTGGGCCTAAGGAATCAGCTTGTGGTATTCAACCATGCATCGTATTGTAAAGTTTTTATGGAGTGCTTAATAACTTTGATCTTTGGATCTTCATTATGCAATGTGTTTTAAGGTCGTATCTGCCTAGTCCAAAGAGAACAATAGTATGCAATGTTGGTGTAGAACATTATAGTTTTTGTGTCTGTGCTTGCGTGTGAGATAGTGGAATAAGGGGTAAAACTAATATCTTATGCATTAAATATGATGATGTCAATTGTTTTCCGTATCAAACAGTGTCTTGTAATTAAAAGCTCTCAAAGTTAAGGAATAGCCTGCCATTTATGAAATGTTAGGGAATGACTGTGTTTTCTTACAAATAAGGGAATGCCATCGTAATTTATCCTCTAATATTCTATACCCTCCTGACTCGTGTAGGCTTAAAGAAACCATTGTTTCACAGAAATGTAGAATCTATTGTTCATAATAAATCATATGGCAGAGGCTAATGGACCATTTGCTTTATCCACTTCCTAGGAGCACTTGGATCTAACTTTATTTATTTTATGCCATCTATGAGATGAAGTGTAATCCATTCCGTTACGAGTTATATCATTTATTTTTTGGCTATCTTATAGTTATAAGGCTTTTTTTTCTCTCCATTCTTACTAGAAATCAAGGTTTATCATGATTTATGTTATCTTTGAGATGAGTACAAGCTCATTTATCCAACTTTAAGTATTCGTTCAATGGCTGCTGTCAATTACAAGGGACCAAAAAAGAAATAAAAATAAAAGAGGAAAAAACTACTTACCGGATGTTGGATATGAAGTGATAGAAAGTGTTTATCCGTCTAATTGATATACTACGGAACTGAATATCACAATCAATATCTCTAAAATTGAAAGAAAGATCTATACTACTTGCCCTCATATACATAGTTTTTGGCAAAAGTCTAGTGAATCGGTTAGAATCTTTTTTGAAAGGCTGCCGACTACAATGGAAATCTAGAGAAATCTTGTCTAGTGTCATTGCGATTTTTGAATGTTCAAAACGGAAGGAAGAATGGAATATATTTAACTATCCATCAAGTATAGAAGACTTCGGAAGATGTAAAAGAAATAGCTCAATTCAGCTAATCATCTTCAAGATCCATGGGGGTCACACTAACCTGATAAATATTATCCTATTCGCTCCATAATGAAGCTGAAACACTGACGTGTGTCCGGTCATCATGATGCAATTCTGAAGTTTGAAACAAACAATTGTATTAGTTTTTGAGTAGAGTAATGCTATATTTATCAAAATTTTTACTAAAAAAATAATTGTAAAAAATAACATTTTGATCAATATTTGGTGGGTCCGAGCTGTCAACTCATTTAGTAAAAACATTTTTGGGAAAATTTTTTGCATGCGCAAGGATCAAAATATTGTTTCGAAACAGTCGAAACGTTTTTGTTTCCAAGGAGACCGAAACAAATCAGTGATAAAATCGAAATTTTAATATTTTAAGATATTTCATAATGTTTTGTGATATATTATAATATTTCAATGTATTTGCACAATTGTTTCGCAATGTTTTAAGGTATTTCAAGATACTTTGATATATTTAAATCAATGTTTAGAAAAATAAATTCTTAAATTTTTATTTTTTTTGTTATGTTTATGAAACAGGTCAAAACGTTTTTGAAACACATCGAAACGTTTCCATTTTTTAAGTGACCGAAACAATACACCAAAACAAAATTTTGATCCTTAGTCTCATGTACATTACATTGCATAATTAACTATGATTATTAATTTCATATTATCGCAGTTGAATAAGTCCATTACAAATGGGATGGAAACTGGTGTCACTGTACATCCACACTATGTAAATATGTTTCACTTTGTTCCAAAATCTCATGAGACTTGGGTGTTTTTCTTCCAAAAACTTAAAGGATATCTTGTGTAACTATTTCTATTAGTTGAGTGGCAATGTGAGGAACTCAATCATAAAAGGAATAAAGTAAGATCAAAGCTATGATTTAAGGGTACAAAGTATATATTTTTTGGCCATTTATTTTGATGGTATTTACTCCTCTGGTGGTTATAAATAGGGGACTAACTCTTGGTCATATTTGCTTCTCTGTAGCTATATTTCAAAGTCTAGCTTTAAAACGCTAGAGTGACTATGGCTGTTCTGATACTTTTCCTGCTCATATCATTAACCTACATATTGACCATCCATGCCTGCCCAAAATGTGGCAGCATGGATGTTCCATACCCCCTCAGCACCAACAACAACTGTGGAAACCGTAATTATAGTGTCTACTGCAACAATGGCACTTTGGAGTTCTTATCAGCTGCAGGATTTTACTACCAAATTCTCAGCATTAACCCAAGTGCTTATAAGCTCATTATACGCCCACCCGCAATTCAAAAAAGCACTTGCCAGTCCTCTGATCTGGCTTTGGGTGGCTTAAGGCTCGACGAAAACTCTCCCTTCAACATATCTTCCCACAACACTGTCATGTTACTGAACTGTTCCGAAACTATTCTGTTATCGCCATTAAACTGCTCTTCAAACAGCCTCTGTAGGCAGTTTGAGGAGAAGGTTGAAGGGGGAAGTAGTTGTAGAGATGCACTTTGCTGTACTTACTTGAAAGATGCATCAATGACTTCACATAGAATTAGGGTTAGAGTTGGAGGGTGCACTGCTTATACTTCTGTGGTGTATCTAAAGCCAGGAGACTCCATTGATTCATGGCATTATGGCATTGAGCTGCAATGGCTGCCGCCTAACTGAGGCTCGAAACAGTGCTAGTCTTGCCAATTTTTTTTACCACAGTTTACTTATCAAATCAATAAAGAGTGGTGAATCAATGGATTCCATTATCATTTTTTGGCGGGACTTACTAATCTAGCTACGCACATTTATTTGGTAAATAAAATTTGATAAGGAATTTGATATGCACATCTTTGCTCCTAAGATTCGGGTTCTCCGTTGGGCCAGTGAACTGCGAGGGTGATATCAGGTTACAGACTGATGTTACCAAAAAACGAAATTCCGCATATGCTCGAGCGAAATGACACTTTTGAGACAAGTTCGAACTTCTATTTGTGCCGTTGTGTTCTATCACCGCGGTGTTGTGTGTTACTTAGTATGTATTGGTCCTTTCTAGTTGTCTGCTATAACCTTCGTATCAATGAATGAATGAATAAATGGACTTTCTAGAATCACTATTTTTTTTTTCCCATAATGATGTGAATACTAAAAACTTTCCTCAGTTTTGATTATTAAATAAATGCAGATAATTGGAACAGTAAGTCCTACTATTTGGTAATCCCTCACTACCACAAATCAGGTTTTCAATTAGGAAAACTTTCCTACGGAAAAAATTTTCTGTAAAAGTTATTTTCAACACAAATTTTCGTCGCTACTGTATTTCCTAGTTAAAATTTGAGTTTCAACGAGGATTATTTTCGTCGGCTCTTTTGTGCATTTCATGGCTAATTATTTCAATGTGTGGAAAAATGTAATCGGGAAAACAAGAGATAAAGTGCTTTTACCTAATATTTTCAAGGTAAAAAGTTAGCTTTTTACCAACAAAAATCATTCCTTGCAAAAAAGGTACACAAATGTCAACCTTTTCCCGAGCGAAATATTTTCTTAGATAAGCGAGCATATACAATAAAATTACGAACATCCCATCAATAAAAAATGTTTCATTTACATAATATGTATTACAACAAACATAAAATCCATCAAGCATTGGCTGAATAGCAACAACGACAATACAATACTAGTTAAATATTTAAAAAAAGAATTAAACACAACAAGATGTCAAACTACAAATGATCAAAACAGTGTACACGCAAACATTATTATATCATGGTGGTTTCAGCATCCAGATTATACACCAGGCTCCACAATGATATCAAAAGATTTTCAGCCTAACATGAAAGGCATAGAATGACGGATTTTAGGAGTTCATTCAACCATAGAAATTCGATGAGAGTTAGAGTCAGACAATCAATATTCTTTTCTTTTTTTTGGGTAAGTAATTATGTTCATTAATTTTTGTAAAGTGTACAAGTAAATTGTTGTCTTTTGGCTATCAAATGACAACTGAAACAAAAGAAATCCAAACTGGTAAAAGTACTGCAGAATAGTAGAATAGCAGAACTTGTACCCGTTTATGAAAACAAAAGAAGCTCATAGTTTAGCAAGAGCATTAGACCGTGGAACTCCAAATCTGAAGGAAGGCTAAGTTCATTGGAGTATGCCAGTAGTTAGCAGTGATAAGTTTGCACTTGATAACTTGAATAATGGATTTGAAGATGGTTGCTACATCCTTCTATTCGTTCCTGAAGATTCTAACATTTCTTCCTCTCCAAAGAGTGTAAACTGTGACTGTAATGCTCAATTTAAGCACAATGACCCTAAGAGATTTTCCTCTCCGGTGTTTAGAAGCTGATTGTATCGCATTTGGTGTAAACCCCCACACTCTTATCTTTATATAGTACGTAATTATGTTTTTGAAATACTAATTTAAGTAATGGAGTATGCATGAACTAAGTAGATTGTCATAGTAGAGATAAAAATGTTAATAGTGTAAAATCGGGTAAATATTTAGTTTAAACTTAGTTTTGACTTGTAAATATATGAAACTGTTTGCAATAGAACTTGTACCAACTATATTTGATGTATAAATGTATGTTGTATAAGTTTGGGTTAGTTTTGGAAGGGTTTGGAATGAATTAGAAATGAAAAACAAAGAAAACAGACAAAATTGACCAGACCGTACCGATACTGCATACTGGTACTCTCGGATGTTATCGTACTGGTATAGCGTACCAGTATGCTACTATCCAGAGAGTTTACCGTACCGGTACTATGTACCGATACGCTCTATAAGTTCCAAAAATTTGAAGTCGCGATCTAGGGTCCACTTTTCACCCTATAAATACATAATGACACCTCCATTAGCCCCATTTCAATATTTTTAACCCTAGGAAACCTTAGAGAGGAAGAAAGAAAGGGAAAAACACAAGATTAAAGGGGATTTGCACATTGGATTGAATCAAAACCCTAATTTGCTTTCAAGAACACTAAGGTAGGGGGTTTCTTCCATTCTTGTCCATTGATACTAGGGTTAATATATATGTATTCTTTGATTCTAAATCTTATATATTTGCTATGGAATTATATTTTCTTGGTCTTCTTACAATTATTACCATGTTTTACACAAGTTAGGGTTGAATACTCATGAAATCTCATTTTCTTGTTTTAAAACTCTAGTTTTCAAAAGAGATGGACTTTCTTCTTAAATTCTTTCTTTATTATTGATTTCGAAACTATAGTGCTTTGAGTTGAGTACTAAAGTGATATTGATGATGATCTCTTGCATTTTATTCAATTATTCTGTTGAAACACTACATGTGAAATTGAGGATTTATGGAATTGTTGTTATTTGAGGAAATTATTGGTATTGTATCTCTTGTGTGATTGTTGGATAAATATGGGCTACTATTGACTGGGTATCTTGGAGTGTGTAGACGCCTTCTTACTCTGTGTGAGTTAAAACTTTTCCTACCACTCGTAATGGGTTTAGTGTCTTGTGAGGACTAAACTATTATCGCTTACGGGTTATCGTAGAAAAAGGAGTTAGTATACTACTCTATGATTAGATACATCACTGTCATGGTGTTGGCATACGCCCTTCCTAAAGGTTGGATATCCTTGTGAGGATTTGTGTGGATTGTACGTGGGCCATAATATTTTCGATAGTATCCATGCGAGGTCTTACTTCATACCAGAGATACGAATATAGTGGTGGGTTATTGTTCATTGTACCAAAAATAGTTTCTACAAGAATTTTGAGAAGTATGAGATTCTGCAAGAACTTGGGAGAAACGGTTTATGGTGGAATGATTATTAGTTGTATATTGATTTCACTTATGCATTAAATTATTACTGTTGCTTAAACTTGAAATCTGTTTAAATGTCTCAGTTTTCTTTCAAAATTCATATATGTTATTTGTGAAAGGTGACCGACCATTTTTATATGTTTTTTTTAAATCTTGTTTGAGTTTGGGCGGAATGTTGCTACAGAGCTTAGTGCTCACTCCCTTACAAACTACATTTTTCAGATTATGTACTGGAGGAGGATTTGAAAATTGAGGAACCGACACACTGAGAGATTTTCATAGGCGGGCATGTTGATCCCGAGATGGACGCTTCGAACAACATTACGTTTTATTCTAGACTAGGAAATTTACTTTGGAAATATTTTAAAGTCTAGATTTTTTTGTAATTCTGCTGCGAGTTTATGTTTAATTTTTTTGGGATGTAATTATTTTACTTTGGGATCATATTATTTTGGGGATATATTCGTCATGTTTTGATATATTCTTTTGGGAACGAGATTGTAAAGATTACCTTTGATGTATGAAATTTCTTTATGGATGAATTATTTAGTTGCTCTCATGATGTGAATGGTTTTTAGTTTGTAATGCCATCCAGGGTAGGTTTTGGGGCATTACAAAGTTTTGGTATCAGAGCTTAGACTTTAGGTCTTACATAGCAGCTGTAGGTTATGGATCACCACTAGGGAAATAAGACTAGGTTGAATGAAATTATTAGATGAAATTTTATCTAAATCTTATACTTTAGGTTAAAGTGATAGTTAGGATGTCCTGTACATCAATGAAACTAAATTGTGAATTTATGTGCAAGATGGAGAGTGAATGTGGAAGTGGATGGGGACGTGATGACACTACAAACCCACCACCACCACCTCCAAATGCCCTGAATGACATCTATCAATGCCTAAGGGAGTTAACCACTTTGGTACAACGCTAGAATAAAAACAACAACCAGCGATGACAGAACTTCGCGATGGGAGGTCTGATCATGACTGGTGCTAGTAGCAGTGGAGCTACATAAAGGGAAACTCCGTACCGCCGACCTGACCAAGCTTTGGGGCTAAGGAATAAAGTCGTTTGAGGAGCTGGGGTTGCTCAGAACTGAACAAACACTGACCCACGTCAATTCTTCGCATGTGGAGGGTTCGGCCACCTCAAAAAGAACTGTCCATCAATTCCACCAAAGACCAATCAAGCAATGGGACAAGTACATGCAAATAAGCCACCACGGCAGAAGCCATTACAATTGAAACCATTAGGAGCTATAGCCCTAGGTGGTACCAAACAAGAAAGAGTTCTTACTCCGACACAACTAGAGGAAGACGTTTTCGATGCCGTTGTTGAAGGTATCGTTCTTCTTTAAAATTTTTGGGGCCGAATTTTATTCGATTCTGATACTATTCATTCATTCATACGCACTACATATGCTCTTAATTTGGGATTGGAATTTGAGAAGCTAGAACATGCCTTGAGTGACATGCTTACAGGAGAATGGTTGGATACTCCAAGGGTGCGTAGAGGTTGTATGCTTCGAATTGGGGAGCATTAGGTGAGGGTGAAGGAAACTCTAGGTTGGACTTTATTTGAAGTGATATGTTTATAAGATAAGTGTGATTTGTTACTTAATTAGGTTAGGAATTAATTATTTATTTGGATTCATGGATTAGCTAGCTTTGAGGAGTGGACGAAAATTTGGGATGTATATTCTAGTTTTATATCGTGTCATTTTAGAATATTCTAGGAGAAGAATGATAATTAGAATTTTGATTTGTAAATGATGCTAGGCATGAATCGTTATGCTAGTCATATTATCCATATTGGAGATGTGATAGCCCAATTTGGATGTGTGGTGGTAAGGTCGACTTAGATGTTTTATTT